GCAGAATATAATTTGGCAGTAATTTGGTTTGTTTGATAAATAAACATGTGCTTCTATCCTGTCTTTGAATAATAAGATAGCAGCAAATTTTTTAAGATATAGTATATAAATACTAAGGTGAGAGTAGAAGGATTATAGAGTTTGAGGTCCTTTAAGAAAAGGAAGTTTATAATATAATAAGTATTTGTTATAGTATGTATCCAAATTATAGAAGTTTAAAGATGTTGATGATGATTTGAACAAATAGTTTTCTGCAGTGTTATTTGCCATTTTAAACCTAGTTCTTACTGCTGTGAAGAGTGCTATAGTCTGTTTTGTACGTTAGATCTAATTGTCTTTATTATGATTCTTTATATAATATTTTTAATATATTTAATTTTATGAATAATAAATATTATATTCTAATTTCAGTTTTGTGTAGCTTTAGAATTACTGTATATATTTGTTTTAGATTTCTGATTGCAATATTATTATCTATATGAATATTTATATGAGTATTGTTTGGAATTGCAAGAAGAAAAGAAATAATTGCTTCAAGTTCAATTTGTGTTGTATCTGAGTAAAGGATAGTAGCTGCATTAAACTTAATAGATATATTGTTGTTTTCACATATTTAGCTTATACCAGATTTAAAGTTTGGTGATTATAAGTTTTAAACTAATGTATTAGTATAGAAGTAAAGTTTATAAGAGTTAAGATTTTGAATGAATAGAAAAAATTTATGAATTGTTGTTAGTAAGTTATTAAGTTAACTAAATGATGTATTAGTTAAACTTCTTATATAAGAATATTAATTTGAAGAATTATTTGAAGAAAGTATATATTCTTAATAAAATTTATATATCAATTAGAGTCAGAATTCCTTTGTAATCAATTTGAATATGAAGTAGATTATTTAATTTGTTTGTTATATTGTAGAAAAGATTAAATAAGAAAAGTATATAGAGGGTGTGGTGATTTAGTGAAGTGGTTAAGTAGATATTCTATAAAATAAATGGACAATATAAAAAATAAACTTTATTAATAATTAATAATCATTAATTTTTAATATTGGAGCTGCAGATTTTGCAAAGTTTGTTCACTATATTATAAAATATCTGGTTAAGCTGTTATATTTTCAAATAGTATATTAGCAGGTTGGAGTTCAAACTCCACTGATGACAAAATTCGAATATTTGCTTGTATAATAACAACTGTCTTTTAATGATCAGTTGAAACAGGATTTTTGTAACCTTAGTGATATCAACAATATTAGGAGATCATAAAGTATTTGTATAATATATAAGTTATACAAAAGCATACAAGCCAGTATTAATTCGTATAACCCTAAAATAAGATCTCGTATTTGTATAAACCTAGAGAATCAGAAAAGTGGATGCCTGCTTGACAAGACCCAAGTAGAGAAGTAGCATAAACCTTTAACAGTAACTACTGAAATAGGCTTCATCCGAGGTTGGTATAACTAAATAAAGACCAGATATTTAGAAGAAAGATACTTTACCAACTAGATCGCCAGAATCGTTAGGGAAAAAAATCTGTAATACAAATATCAAGAAACTGATATTCTATTCAGATCATCTGAATTGATAGTTTAGAAAGATCAGCTAAAGAGTATTGAAAAAAAAGGTATCAGATTGTCTTAAAGGAAAGATACTAGGGTTTAGATGAACTCTATAAAGGCTGAGTAGGTAATGATAACAGCTTCAATTTGCAAGTACTTGTTCTCAAACTTGGTATAAATTACTGAAAAAGACTAGATATTACAGTAATAGTGAATACCTGACTGCTCTAGCAGGTGATATACTCAAAAATATGCTAGAAATAATTATTCTATAATTGAAACACAACAATTCTGGAACTTGAACTGACTAATGTATTGTATCTTTCAAGTGATTAGTTAGATGAATTGGTATAAAAAACTCGAATCAGAAAGTTTAATTAAATAATCTAAATAATAGTGAGTTATAAATATGATATCTAATATAAATCTAGTAATAAACAAACTACTTAAATTAGATACTTAAAAGACATAGTATAGTTAAAATATACTCTCATCAAAATATATTTGTCTAGAACCTCCTTGAAAAAAACACCACATAATTTTATAAGTCTAATAAAAGTGATAAGCTAAAGAAACTAACTTTAACACTTAGTGTAGTTGGTAAGTTGTCATACCCCCAAACAGCAGGACAAGAGTTCGAATTCTACTGGCAACAAAATTCAAATTTGTGAAAATACATTATGATAAAACTGTATGATATGTTGATCAGGTTAGCACCTGTAACCTTGGTCTCACCAACTCGTATTAGGAGGTTGTAGAATGTAGTATAACGTATAAGTTATATGAAACCCGAGTGAAGTAGCCAAATAAATCCAAGAGATCGAGAGATACGGAAGCTTACTTAGAAAGTCCTGAGTAGAGAAGTAGCATAGATTTTTGACAGCGCTATATAAAGGATTATTATTTGGGGAACCGAACACCAAAGGCAAACTGAATGAGGACCAAGTATTTGGCAAGCACTATACCAATCAGGCCGCCAGATTAACCAAAGGAAAAAGGATTTATCAAAATACCAGGAGACGCTTACTGGTCCTTTCCAGACTATCTGGATTGGAAGTTTAGGGTGCTGATGGTTGGCATCGAAGTATTGTTAATAGTTTGTAAAGTGGATGCTGGAGTTTGAGTGAACTTTGCAAGGGCACAAAATAAATAATGGTAACAGAGATAAAAAGCCGCAAGTACTTGGTCACGGCCTAGATGTAAGTTATCAAAAATCTAGGTGATACATATATGAGACATAAACTGCTTTGGTAGGTTTATTACAAGGATAAAGGACTCCCCTATATAGTAGTGTGTGTCTGCTTTAAAATCCTAAGGGACTTACACAGCAGTTTCTCTTTGAGAGAATATCCTGACAGCACTAAATTGATCAGAGAGTTTAATTGGGTAACTCAAGTAACAGTAGGTTACAGGTACGGCATCTAGTGTAGTTCATATAGGTTACATATGCAAGATTGCTTAAATAGACAACCAAAAGTTGTACATATAGCTAGAATATATCCTCATTAATGTAACAAAGTCAGGAGTAGCCCATGTGATTATTCTGATATTCAATCCAAAGTTCAATAAAACATACCAGACCCCAAAATGGTCACCTTAACATTAAAAAAAAAAAAAAAAAAAACTATAACTACAAAAAAAAAAAGAAAAGTATATAAAAAGAGAATAGATTAGTTAACAGTAATTGTATAAAGCCAGTATTAATAGAAATTAATTAAATGTTGTGATTGTAGATGTAGGTGATAAATATATAAAAAAAAATCATTATAGATAATAATATATAGATGTTAAATTATAAAAGAATTCAAAAAGAATAGTGGAAAGATAAGATTAGTTGTATTAATAAAAGAATTAATTATAGGTAATTGTAAAAAAAACCAAGTTGTTGTAATTGTATTATTTTATACTGATTGAAGAATATTAATAAACCATAAAAGTTGGTATTTAGTAGATTTGTTTGTGCATAAATAAATATTAAATAGAATTTAAATCAATCAAGCTTGGCTTAACTTCAAGTAAACCCAAATTGGATTCAAATAAACCCAACTTGAATTTAAATAAAACTAGATTAGATTCAAAGAAACCTACCCAGGTTGAATTTAAAAGAACCTGGGTTGAATTCAGGTGAGCTTGGGTAAGATCTAAAAACATCTGAGTTAAATTCAAGAAAACCTAAATTGGATCCAAGAAAACCCGGGTTGGTTCCAAGTGAACCTGAAATGGATCCAAGAAAGCCCGGGATGATCAAGAGAACCCGGGTTGGATCCAGGTAAATCCGGGTTGGATCCAAGTAAATTCGGGTTGGATCCAAGTGAACCCGGGTTGGATCCAATGAACCAGAGTTGGTTCCAAGTAAACCTAGGTTGGATCCAAGTAAACCCGGGTTGGATTCAAGTAAACCCGGGTTGGATCCAAAGGAACCCGGTTGGATCCGGATTGGACCCGGGTTAAATCCAAGTGAACCTGGGTTGGATCAAAGTGAACCCAAGTTGGATTCAAGAGAACCTGATTGTATCTAAGGAAACTCCAAAAAATTGTAAATTAAGAATTTTGAACCCGGAGCACTGAAACCTAGTCGGTTATAAGTTATCGTGAGATTACTAATAATCTCCGATGTATCGAAATAACTTTATTAGTAATATTTTGTTCCATTATAATTTTCCGTACTAAGAAATATCCGTTATAGCGGTGTCCGTTACATCGAGAATCACTGTGTATTAGTGTAGATGTATTAGAAACAACATATATATCATATATTATGTATTACAAAGTATGATATTATATTACCATATCAATCCGATAACGAATAGATGATTTTGAAAAAGTTCTTCATATAAAATTACAATACATTAAATGAAAAATATATGTTTTCTTGAGCCCACTACACCCAATAATGAATCAATATCATCTAAAATTTATGTTTCATTATGTACAAGGCTCGTGAGAGTTGCTGCGTATTATCCATAATTTAGCATAATTAAAAAATTTCTCACCAAGCTATCAAAAAATAAATTATTCTGCTTTTTCTACATTATTTATTGGTAATGATATTACGAAATCTGAATCATTGGTTAACAATCGATACCCTCCTATTTGAATATCCTTATGTCTTCTATAGATTATATTCCATAATATAGGCGTAATCATTAGAGTTAGAGAAGTTACCGCTAAAATTACATAGTATACCTCCCTCGATATAATTTCAAGACTTTTGGCACGACTGGAGAGGATAAAAACATATTCACTTATCTGAGACAGTCCAATAGCCATTGTAGTGGCACGCTCAAAAGTGTGCCTAAATACCATTAAAGTTACACTACAAGTAACGAATTTAATTCCTATTGCACATATTGTTAGAATAAATAACAATGTTCCTTCATTAATAAAGAAGCTCGGATATACATGAAGCCCAATGCTTGAGAAAAAAAGACATGAAAATATGTCTTTGACTGGTTCTACAAGCGTGATAGAAGATTCAGCTATAGATTTATGGTTGCTAATCAATATGCCTGCTATGAAGCATCCAATTTCAACACCCAGTCCAAGCATAAATGAAACATGTGACATTATAAGACATAAAGATATGGATCCAAGGAGAAAAAGTTCATGTTTATTGGGCCCTTTAATAGTTTTTAAAATCCGGGAAATAGGTAAATTTGCAACTATAAGACTAAATATGCAAAATAGTACCATGGAAAATAGTAAATGTCCTGCTGTCAATATAACTTCAATATCAGTTTTGGAAAAAGCATGCAGTGAAGCCTATAAATAATAATTATAATTAGTTACTATATGTTATTATATTCATTCAATAATGACGTTAACTGCCTACCAGTAATACCCCAAATAAAATATCTTGTACTATAAGTAAACCGTGTAATGACTCAAGTTCTGTGCAATTTAATCTTTTCACAATAGCTGTACTTGAAAGCGACACACATGCACCTACAAAAATCGCCTCATTTGTCTTAGCACCTATAACAAATCCTATAAAAACCGATAGACTAAGGATTAAGGTGAAGATTATAGTAACACTGCCTAGTGCAAATTGCCATATTGACTTAAGTCTATTAAACGAAAATTCCAATCCTAACATAAATACAATAAAAATAACTCCAAACTGCGAAAGCGTTTCTGTTTGAATAAGTTCCTATAGTCCAAATTATAAAGTTAAATGAATGAATGCAAATTATGCAAATATGATTATACATTAGTAAATTATTTAAACACCTGAGTCATATTGAATCCAACAGGACCGAGAACACAACCAGCAACTATATAGCCCAAAAATGCTATATTATAACGTAGGATTAATAAGTTGGCGCCGATGTTTATAAAATCAAACAGTCGATTTATATCAGCCTATTTGTTCAGTGTATTGTAAATAATATTACTAATGTCTACTAATTTACCTGGCAACCCAAAGCTATTAAATATCCAACCAATGACAAATGCAACAACAAGTATGAAAATTAGATCGTGCACAAGCCTCCCGTCTAAAATAAAATATAGTCAACTAAGATAAATAATTTATAAAAGATTTTAAAAATCAATAATTTAAATTTCACCTTCATAGAACATAGACAAATCATTTGGTCTCATAAGAATGTATTCATTATTGTCACGATCAACTAGCATCATTACTTTGTTAGAACTGTGACTCGATTCTTCACTTTGAGATAATTCAAGACTTTGTTTTTTTCCATCTTCGTCATCTTCTAATTTGACAACCATATCAAGAGATCCATGCATCTTAGAAGCATCTGTGAACTTATGATTATGCATGTTCTTCTCCAAACGATCTGCTTCAACGCCTACTTCTTGCAGAAAGTTATTAACTAGGTCAGAAGCCATATTTTCGCGATGAGGATCATGTTCATAATTATCATCATCCGTTATCACTTTGTGCTCATGATCACCTTCATTTACACTTTGTTTCCACACTTTCTGCAGAAAATCCGTGCCATTAGTTTTCAGAGTATTATAATAAAATTTTGATATAAGCTGTAAGGTTTCTCCATGGAAAGAATTTGACATCTCAATCGAATAATTATCATCAATTAATTTGCCAAAAATGTTGATTAATCCAAAAGTCAAATTTTTGAACGCCTCTGTTTGTAAGAGTTCATTATTTATCAAGTCTATTTCAACCTTTTTTTCAAGTTCGGCAATAGTGCTGCTTTCTTTAATGGCATTCCATTTTGTTTTTCTTAAAAGTAAATAACGTTGATATTTATTCATACAATCCAATGAAAAACAACTCGGCATGGACTCTGAAACCTTAGAAATTTTCGGTTATAGGCAAAGCTTAAAAATTATAGAAGTAAAAGAATCACCTGTGTTTGCTTACTAACCTCCTGCGCATTCTCCACAGATGCTGAAAAAATAAGCCAGTATAAGAATACAATAGCACACGTCGTAACTATTGAAGGCATTGCCCTTTCTTGGTTTCAAGTATATGCGTATTATATTGATACAAAATAGCGATAGTACCAATTTTTATATGCAGTGAATTGCCAGGGTGTACGACATCAGTCTAACGCTAATTACAAATGAGTGTCAAACCCGATAGAATTATTTGTGTAACAGAATGTGGGTTTCAAAATTATTTAACGTTAAGGCCACTCCAAATTGATTTTCTGTTTAACATAAAATGAAATAGCTCATGGGGGCATAAAAAAAAAACAAATTAATAAAAATACAATGATTCTATTGGCTATAAAAAATGTAAAAATATAAAAAACTAATACTGTAATTTGATTGGTTAAAATGATATTTTTTTTATATGGTGCAAGAAGTCTATACTCAACAGTTACACAAAGTGTTTCAATTTTTTAAATGGCTATAACTTTTTATCTAAGAGGTTTTAAAAAAATTTGACCAGTAATTTTATAGAGCTATATCAGCACTACATATATGTGCCAAATATCTTTTCAAAATTTCATCACTGTAATAAGTTGAAGCATTTTGAAAATTGAAATTTTATATATAAATTTGCAAATTTATATATAAAATTTTAATTTTCAAAATGCTTCAACTCATTATAGTGATGAAATTTTGAAAAGATATTTGGCACATATATGTAGTGCTGATATAGCTCTATAAAATTACTGATCAAATTTTTTTAAAACCTCTTAGATAAAAAGTTATAGCCATTTAAAAAATTAAAACACTTCATATAACTGTTGAGTATAGACTTCTTGCACCATATACAATTTTTTAAAAAATTGAGGGGGGGTTATATAAACAGAAAATTAAATTGGCCTGGCCTAAGTAATAATACTGAAAGATTTTATGCATAATTCGATTGGCTATTTTTTTAAACCAAACAATATTCTTTACAATAAAAACAAAACTTGTAATTTTTTAATGACAAATTATTATTAATGCCAAAAAGTGATTTTGTTTCGATAAATAGGGCCATGACCATATTAGAGCTTGGTCTGCTACATTGCTTAAATCATAAGCATGAACATGTATTGTTTTTTTTTTTTTTGTGATTATAAGTTTGTTAATTTAAGAGTAAATATTTACTTTGATTTAGATTAGAATAGTCACACCCCAGTGAAGTGATATAGATTATAGTTGGTAGTAGAATTACTGAATTACAGCATTACAGTATTCTACTATATGGTAGAATTAATTTTATCACAGTGTAATGTCATATATCTTCTATAGACATACTACATAAGTCAGCCTCCCTGGAGAATAATGCTCCAAGGCCAGACTGCATATCTGATGATATTGAAGCTTCTTGTTAACAAAATTTCAAGGATGAAGATAAATATATTGGCCTGTCTATCCACAGTAAATCTCACATTTTCAACCCGAAAAGGGAAGATTATAAGATATATGTTCGGGGTATCGATTTGTTGTGGGACAGCAAAAACGAAACAAATGAAAGAGCTAATATATGAAAAAAACAAACAGGCATCAGAGATGAGAGTGAAAATGATGCCAACATTGTTTTTAAATGTCCTAACCAACAAAGAATTGAAGAACTGCAGTCAACCTTGAGGCAACTACTCTGAATCGATACTCTGGAGGACTCTGTATGGACAGAAAAAACCTCGAAGACGTTGTTTTGTCTTGTATTCCTAGACAATCAATCTGAAAAAAATATGAAAACTCATCCTTGTATTATATGTCAGCTGGTAATGAACTCAATAAATTATTATGCAATAATCCACTTATTGTAGTTAAAAAGATCATGAGCGAATCTGATTCTTTTCATGTTGCAACTTCTCTTTACCTTAAGCTCCAAAGCGAAAGTCTTCAAGATGATGTTATTTGTTATGTGAAAGAAGATCTTATATGTTATATAAAGGAAATTAAACAGTATAGTTTCAATCATAGCATTATTATTGGGGAATGTTATTGTGGAATGCTTTTTCTGGACTGCTATAGTCGTGTATTTGATTTGGATTCTATGATGAATGTATTATGGTTTCTTAGAAATTATTTTGAAATAAAGTCAAAGGAATCTAAGACTGCCCGGGTGGCATAGGATGTATTAGATAATGAAACTATATTTGAGATCGATAAATATATGTATATGTATTTTTATTCATATCTTACCTTAATTTTTTATAACTATTTTCTTTTCTTTTAGATTTATCAGAAAAACACAACACTCATCCAATTGTAAAGGAGAACAAGAAAAAAGATAAAAATAAAAAAAAGCATCATTGATTTGATTGCATTTATTGCACTACATTAATAGAAAATGTGATCTTACAATCTTGATGATATTACAAATTGATAATTATGTTTTGCATTGGGTTTGGGCCCTATAGCTTAGTGGTTAAGCTACCAAACTTCCACAAACTAGGTTGACGGTTCGAGTCAGGCTAGAGGCAAAATCTTAGGATTTTTAGCTTCTGTAACCTATTAGGGTGCCATAATCGAATGCAGAGCCTTGTGGTTAAGTCCAAGTGCAAGTACGAAATCGGAAAAGGAAATTTCCGAAAAGAGGTCTAATTATAGAGTAGTAGTACTACATATGACAGGTTATAGAAGGTTCTGTTACATGAAGGTTGCACATGTTAGTTTTCGATTAGGAGTGACTGAGGCAGCACCAACATCCCTAGCAGTTGGGGTACTTGATTGAAAGAGTGATACGACGGTAACAAAACTGGAGTAGTGAAAAAAGTGGTAAACACGAAGATGACTTGTGGTAAAGGATTGGTCCATTCAGAGTTCAGAAGCACCTCTGGCCTCAAGCCACTTGGCCTATTAAGGAAGAAACCTGTGAAAACAGAGCAAGAAGGCTGAAACTCAAAGTACGTAATAAAAATTCGAAATGGCTAGATTTACCAGGCTGGTAGTACAATTATACAAATCGGGCTTGTATATCAGAAATTGATAAGAAACACCAAATACTGAAATTAGAAATATTACAGACCGCAAGCCGCAACTAGGTCTAGACTCCTAGAGCTTTGTTATCTAAAATGTTAAGGCACCAGAACACTATAGCTCAAACTATGAAAGAGAAGTAATACAAAACCCGCAATCTGGAAGTTATAGAGTAACCTATAATACAATATGGCGAGTTTGCATTAATATATAGGAGTATCTACCTATAAGGTAATGGGAATTAGCAGCATATTAACTAAACTAGGTGTTAATGACGAGGCTTAACCTGAGCCAGCATGAGTTCCTCTTTGTGATACTACTTGGACAGACTAGCTGAAAATAACCAAGATTGGAAATAGCCCTTGAGGCTACAAGGCTATATTCCAGAAGAGACTACCAAATTTGGGAGCTTAGATATAAGTGGTATAAGAGATGCAGGGAATGACGTCATAGAGAAGTGTACCAAAATAGGGCTAGTGAAGGGTAGAAAAATACTGGTGAGTGCTATCCATAAGAATATACTGCTTCAGTAGATTTGGATCGCAGATAATGGATCAGTGGCCAGATAGTAGATAGGGACACCTATTACGCAAGTGATGGTTTCAGCCAGAGCGTAGATAACCAATAGGATCCGGGTCTGAGCTTGGTGTACTTGATATATATAAATATGAAAATGTAGTAATATATGTAATGAAAGTATTAACAATAAACTAGGAACTGAAAACCGATTAAAGTCCGGAGCTCATTATTGTCATCTTACACAAACGCGTAAACATGCATAATTTTTTTTACACAATGTACAAATATAGACACGCGGCGTTACAGATGGAAAATGCTGAAACTACTTTTTTGATCTTTATATTATAGATGCATCAAAATCGTAATTTCAGTCATCAAAGTGCATAGAAGTATGAGTTCTCCACTTCACTTCTAGACAATAAAGTCATGAGTAAGATCCCACCTGAACACCAAAAAAAAAAAATTATGTTTTGTGTTATGTTGCTTATAATAATTTACCCTATAGTACGTAATGTATTTTGAATCTAATCTATCAAGCTAATAACTTTGCTATGCTTATATATAGGTGTGTATTGGAAAATAAAATAGAGACCATATATATACATGTAATTGGCGTTACAAAAAATAATGCACGAATTTTTTATCAGTCAGAAGATATATTACATAATCTGTACTATTATATAATTTTTGAAATCTTAGTGCATTAAATGATAAATAAACTTACTGTATTATCATTATAGTTTAAAATATTCTATATCACATTAGTTTTTTATTTGCACAAATTTAAAATAAAAAATCTTTATTATTTACTATTAAATTCAAGTCTTTTTCATATAGCTAAAATAAAGATAATTTTTAAGATTCTTTATAAACTATAATTTTTTCAAATGATTAAATTTTTCACTATTTTAATTCATTTTAGCACTTTATTTATTTGAAAATTAAATCTTTTTTTGTTAACAAACTATATAAAAAAAACATAATATTAGTATATATAACAAATGATATTAATAACAAATCATAATAGTTAAATTTACCTAATTAGCGTTTTGGCATTTTTGCCACCTAGATTAATCTCTTATTGTTATTATCTAATACATTTTTATTGTTTTTATATCTAACTATTATAAATCTGAATTGAAAAAATTATCATAAGGCGTCTAAAGATTATCAAAAATTAGTGAACATGAACAATATAATAAAACATCAAAGATTAGTCAATATTATTACAAATAAATTGAAATTAAAGAAAATAAACTTTTAATGTTTTAAAATCTACAAATATTAATCATGCTGATGTTCTATTTTGATGATTTACTAAAATCCAAAATCTTATCATTACTTTCTCAGATGAAATCCTGTCTTTTTGAGCAACTATAGCTTTGAAAGCCCACATGTTTCACTTTTTTAAAATCTCTAATTGTGAAACTTCAGATATTGGATATTGTTGATTATTAAAATTAGCGAAATCAAATCCTTAATAATGTTCAAAGATAGCTGAAGCCATGATCTAATAGTAAATTGAGGGTAAAATTTAAACTGCAATAATCTAAAATCATTATTGATCTATTGATCCTTAATAATTACCTTAATAGACAAATATAACTAACGTTCTTTAGCCTCTTTTTCTTCGTTCATATAAATCTATTAAATATCTATGTAAAAATAAATTCATTGCAGAATCTTACACCATAACACTTTATAAATAAGTATACTTATGTAAATGTTTTAGTATATCTCTAGCATGTAGCGGAGATAATACTATGTCGATATCAGATTCACAGATATATACTAATATATATGCATTTGTAAATTGTTCAATATTTGTTCAATTGAACTAAAAACTTCACCCCATAATTATTTTCAAGAACTTTATTATTTGTTACAGATATAACTCTAAAATCATCAAATTTGAGTCTTTTATTGGTAGTTAATATTAAAATTCAAACCATCAGATATCATAATTGCTTTTATATAAATCACTACTATGAACAATTATTCTAAATATAATAAAAATCATTAATATGTTGTAAAAAGATATATATTAAAACTATTTAATCCATATTTACAAACCTCTGAAGCAAATAATTATACGGCTTTGACTTATTACTATTTGATGATAATGATAAATAGCTTTGCAAATCAATTTCACAAGATATTTAAGATAATCATTTATCTGTGCATGTAATATATCGATAGATTATATAATTTTTGAATCAACAAATCATTAAATTAAAGATTAGAAGTAAAAATAAATACTTTAACTATAGCACCTCTTTATATATTATATTCAAACTGCTTTAGTTATATTCATAGTACAGATAGAAAACTTTTAAAAATTACTCTTTTCTTTATATTCTATAGACAAATAAAGTCAAACCTTTGTATTTAAAGTAATTTTCAGTTATATTGTAACCAAAATATGACATACTTGCAAACCATAGATTTTAGTTTGGTATTTATTGTTTTCTTCACAAAATTCTTTATAAATATATTCTAAGAAAGAATCATTTAAAGTTTTGTATCTTTTCACTTCAAGTTGAATGTCTATCATGATAAAATTAAATATTACTTTAAAAATTATTAGTATATACTATAATAATCTTCAATACACGAATTTATAATTTATATTAACACATCTAATATAACTTTTCGTTTTTCTTACAGTATAGGACAGCAAAAAACATCTAATTTTTTAGCAATTGTTTAATGCTTAATAACTTTATAACCAATAATTATTTTAAAATCTCTCTTACAGATTTATTATTTATAAGTTAAACTACAAATCTGTAAGACAGATTTTTAATATCTTGTTTTTTACAGAAGTTATAAGAGATCAAAGTTCAGTAACTTTTATAGTAAACCAGAAATTTGGCGCACGAAAATTGACCAATCATATTCATCCTGATCACATGCTATAAATTCTATTGGTTGACATTTATTATTAAAAATTGACACAATCCATTATATATATACGTATGTATATACGTATATATATTACTACACAGTGTACAAAACAATGCAAATATATAGACAGCACTTCATTGCTGCTGATATTATTAATTCTTACTAAGATGTATCTATAAACCTGTTCTTTTCGAATGCGCAACGATTATATTATGTGATTTGGATCATAACCACAAATTATTTATCAATTTTAAAAACATGCATTTTTATGCTTAACAATATATATTTTAAAAATGCTTTGTTAATAAATTATTAGCAAATACATATAACAATCGGGTGACGCAATAGTTTATGAGTTTATAAAAGTAAATAAAGTTATATGTGATTGAATAAATAATTTTAAAGGCAAGTTCATTAAAATAATAGTCTTTCGGATAGCACAGTAGTTTATGAGTTTGTAAAAGTTAGATGCAAAGCATGTGATTGAATAAATACGTAATTTAAAAACAAGTTTATTAAGATAATAACAAAAGGTTAGTCATTTCTTAAAAAATAGTGTATATAAGTACTTATTTACGTATGTACGAACTAAGTTCAAGAAATTTGTGTGCGTACATACATACATACGATGCAAAAAATCCAAAAACCTCTATAGAGCAAAAAACGACTAGCACATTAGAGATAAGCTAAATTAAGTAAGCTGCTTATTTTAAGTTTCAGCCGTAT